GAACAGGTCAGGATAACAGGAACACTACGGAACTCTAAAAACTCGCTCTCTCCACTTAAGCCAAAACAGGGCACGCTCAGCGGATAAGATGCAGATCATGATCAGGAAATCAGGAACACTACAAAAACTCTAAAACCCCCTCTCACCACTGGCCCCCGAGAACGTGAAGATGAAATATGGCTTCAGTAATGATCTACACTTCATATTAATAATCTGGCCCCAATAGCTGGGACTGGGCCGTATACAAAGAAGCAGGAGCAGGTGGATTAGATGAGTGGTAATTGGAAACTGGGCCGAGTTGGGCAGGTGAATGAAATGAGGAATTAGGCCAGCTCTCAGAGTCATGATCATGGCATTATTCTATTCTATTCTATTCTATTCTATTCTATTCTATTCTATTCTATTCTATTCTATTCTATTCTATTCTATTCTATTCTATTCTATTCTATTCTATTCTATTCTATTCTATTCTATTCTATTCTATTCTATTCTATCTTATAAGATGGTAGTGCCAATATCATGCTATGGGGAGGCTTTTCTTTAACAATTCACAATTAAACTGATAAAAGCTAATGGCAAGATAAACAGTGCTAAATACAGCCTTATGCTGTGTAACAATAAAAACCTCCTACTATCTCATACCAGAAAAATAGGATATACATTTATTATCAAATGCGTGTCACTGATGAGCCAATCATACTGTATATCCATGATAAACTACAACAGCTACTTATGGTTACTGCTGTTTGAATTTCTGATCAAACTTACTGTTCCGATTATCTCATGTTATTTTTCAATTATTCAATATTGTTTATCCTGTTTGGCCCATAACGTGTCCAGGTTTGACCCCCTTCACCACCTCTGGTTTAGGGATCCAGCACATTCATGTTAACAGCCTAGTCAAAGCCAAATCCAACCAAGAATGTTTCAAAATTCTTCAAAATTATTTTTATATTGATGTGCTTTGCTTTCGAACTGATCACCTTTAGCTATTTTGCAAAGAATAGAGAAAACTATATCTAGATATGCAAAACTCTCAGACACAATTGTATTTGCAGCAAAAGGAGGTTCTAAAAGGTTTATATTTGCAAAAGATAAAATATTTTTTTTTAAATACTAATAATAATATAACCTTTTTTCAAACCTTTATGCAAAACTCTCAGACACAATGGTATTTGCAGCAAAAAGGAGGTTCTAAAAGGTTTATATTTGCAAAAGATAAAATAATTTTTTTCAAATAATAATAATAATATAACCTTTTTTCAAACCTTTGCTCAATAACAGGTCATGTTGTGCTGGTCTGTCTCATTAAGCAAAAAGATAAATGTGACATAAGTTTGCTGAATGTAAGTACTTCTACAGTACAAGGTACTGTGAGAAGTTGAACAATGAGCCTGTGACAGCGTGAGAAGGCCTCCACAGCTGGGATTTAATCCTGTCTGTTCACTTTACTTTCTTTCAGGCTTGTGTATACACTCTGTCAGTATTTGACCTTGTAGGCACATTTCACAGTAAAAAGCACAGAGCCCTGAATTGAGATCTGTGACTCAGTAACCATTTAGTCCAAAATATTCTCACACTTTAAAATTATGTTGTCACAGCTTTCTTTGGCTCTCACAGATCTAGCTTTTGTTTTCTCCATTCCTGCCCTCAAGACAAGGATTTTGAAGCCTGTCTTCCCAATCCATGCTCCCTCTTTCATCGTGTTTGTTTCATTATAACAATGTTCACTTATATCTCCATGTAGTCTTAATTATTCCTCCCTTGAACTTCTCTGAGGAAACATGAACCCTATGTACTCACATCAGATATTCGCACCTCTCATTTATGAGCCTTTTAGTGAAAAATACAAAAACAAAATTTTCTTAGGAACCCAGTGTCCTTTTGTTTTGTGTTCGGCAGCCTAATTGCAGACAGAGAATGGAAAAGCTTTGTTTGTTCCCCTTATGTTTAGTTATGAGTAAACTAGTGTTTCAGTAACCTAGGTAAAGCCAGAGGAGTGAGAGTAAGAAATTAGCATGAGTAACACCATGTACAACTTTGTGTTGGTTGTTTGTTTTATCTTTCCTTCTTTTGTGGGAAAATTATGAAAATATTTGAAACTAAGGTTTGGCTTTGCACTAAAAATATGAGGCCCTGAAGATTGTGTCTTTCGAATTGTGTGAAAAGTTCAGAGAATGTGAGGCATTTTTTTAAGGGAATGTATGTAAACGTTCAAGAAAATAGCATGTAATGCACAATACCTAAGAGATACATCCTCTTTCAGCTGAACGGCCAATTATTCAATCAAATATATTTTTCTCATTACAGTGTATACCAGAAACCATCCATCCATTTTCTGACACGCTTATCCCAAGCGAGATCGTGAGGGGTGTTGGTGCCTATCTCCAGCTGTCTACGAGAGAGA